AGGTTCAGATCAAATTGTTTGCTGTAGGTTTGTAACATAATATAAGAAGACTAATACTGATCAGATTATATTCAGACCTAATGCTCTTGCCTTGGTTGGTAACAAGTATAATGCCTGTCTGAGTTATGTTTCTGCTTGAATGCATCCCTGTTGACGAAAGTTTGTGTTTCTCAGAGAGCAGCTTAAAAACTGTATTTCACAGTATTGTTATATTTAAATCACGCCTTTGTAAATACCTGCAATTATATTGAGTAGTAGTGTTTGATACCTCATTGGAGTTAACTCTGTCTGACTATCTGTCATTCACTCATTTGGCAGGGTGACCCTCTGAAGGTCAAAGTCAACAAACTGGCTTCTACTAGAACTCAACTTCCTTATTCATATTATTCCCTTCCTTACTGTAAGCCAGATCGCATTGTGGACAGTGCAGAAAATCTTGGCAAGGTTCTTCGGGGTGACCATATTGAAAACTCTGTTTATGAGGTACACTACTCTTTTAATGATGATTGAAATCCGTGATGTCCCTAAATTGTTAAAATTCAGTCTAACAGAAGGTTTTGTGCAGTTTCGTATGAGGGAACCACAGATGTGTAACATTGCATGTCATATTGTTCTTAATGCAAAAACAGAAAAAGAATTTAAGAAGAAGATAGATGATGGATATCAGGTGAGCATGTAGGGGGAACAATTAAAAGTTCTCTTGATGCTGTTTTTGTCAACTGTATGATAGTCAACGGTGTCTGATTTAGTACTTGAATGTAACGGGATTGAATTCTTTTGCATTCGGGAATCCACGAATGTAACTTGAATGTAACAAGATTAAATATAAAGAGAGAAAGGCACCAGACTGAGCATCTGTTATTCTTCGAATGAAGGTTAATTGGGTTTCAAATTGCAGCATGGAGGTAATTTCACTTCTTGATTTCTTTCTGATTTCTTCTTAGTTGGAGTTCTATTTCCAACTATGATGTACTTGCTTCTGTCTAACAGCTTTGAAGGTGTCTCCTCTCGCTTGAAGCTATTTTCTTCTACCTGAAGATATCCTTTCGCAAGCGCTCTTTTCCCATCATTTATTTTTAAAATATACCTCAAAATTAGAGTCCTTCATCAATTTTAGGCAGAAAGTTGTAATTCCACGTTCTTTTATCAACAGCCGGCCAGACCAAGAAAGTTGTCATCGGATCAATAATGAAGTGGAATTACTTGGTAAGCTATTATTAGCAGAATTCTAATTATTAAATAGACAAATTGTATTATTGGTCAAATTGTATTTTTTTCTGATTTTTAGTTCTGTGCCATATTAGCAGAATTCTCTTTATATATACAAATTTTGAGAGAACAACCCAGAGAAGAAGAAGTCTGAGAGAAGAAGAAGAAGAAGACTTAAGGCATTATTTTTACATATCTAGAACAGATTCATAGACGTCTAGGGATGGATGGTACTAAATATGACATATATTGATGATGATGTTGTTGAAGAAGTTATTAATGCACTTGTGTATCTTTTTTTACATCATCATGCCCATTTGGAAGATGTCGAAGGAATTAATGCAGTACTTATCTAATGTATTTATATTTGCTTATGAGTTATAGTGCATAATGATATACTCCGTATTAAGGAATTTATGCTGATATTTGTGGATTCTTAATGCAGTAAACGAAGCAACAGAGTGGACAGAAGTTTCCGGCTAGAAGTTTCTTTTTTATGTGGTACATTTTTTTGTCAAGAAATTTAAGTTCTTGGTTAATTTTTAGCTTTACTCTAATAATTTCTCATGTCATTTAACAGTCATAACGTTTTTTAGGATAAAACATTTTCTAAATTGGTGTTTGAAAGCAGATTAGATCATTGAACTTCATAAAAGTGCCAAGAATTATGCCTTTACCTGGATTCTACTATATTATGTTTATCATGTTCCTTGGGCATCAACATGATTGGTTCTTTACTCACCAAAGTGTTTATTAGAATTTACTCGAACCCAATAAGAATCATATGTGCTATTTTAGTGGTTGCAAAAATAAATTTTAAATCTATTGCTTTTTGTTTATTACGGATTAATTTTTGATTATACATACTTATCGTGCTCATGAGTGATTTAAATCTATGCAGGTGTAGTTGGGTTTGGTGTTGCTGGATTAGTTTACGAGCATTCAATTATATTGAGTAGTAGTGTTTGATACCTCATTGGAGTTAACTCTGTCTGACTATCTGTCATTCACTCATTTGGCAGGGTGACCCTCTGAAGGTCAAAGTCAACAAACTGGCTTCTACTAGAACTCAACTTCCTTATTCATATTATTCCCTCCCTTACTGTAAGCCAGATCGCATTTTGGACAGTCCAGAAAATCTTGGCGAGGTTCTCGGGGTGACCATAATGAAAACTCTGTGTATGAGGTACACTACTCTTTTAATGAT